TGAAATAATATTCTGCTGTTCTAAGCACTTTGTTGGTGCTGCTGTAGTGGTTACACTCGACCATCACTGTATGAAAAATAATCATAAGAAAAAGCATTAGGAAGAGGCTGGTCAATTCTACTTATCCCTTTGCAGTGAAAAGATTTCTGGGACCAGCTAATGAAATTAATAATATCTGTGCACTCACTACCTCATTTAAAAAGTAATAAAGCACATCCCCTTCATCTTCACTGAAGGGATGACACTTGATGGGTCATAAAAATGCTATTAAGAAAGTAGTAAACAGAAAAGACATCCACCCTAGGGGACAACAAGACAGATGAGAAGGCAGAGAATACAAGAGTTATATCCTTTCATAACAGCTATACAAAAAACAAGATAAAGTACATGCTCCTAGATTCTAATATGGAACAAACCCTTTTAATAGCAACAGCAATTACTTTCAATCATTTCAAGACAAAAGTTTTAAGAAAGAAGCAGAGTAAAGTTTATTCTTGTTACCAATACTATTTTGCACTTTTCTAATTCCGTTCGCTGTCAAAGTTCTACAGCTATTATAATCCTTACAGTACCCTCTTGAAAAAGGCAAGAATTACCAACTCCAGTTTTCAAGGAGTTAAGGTGGTGAGGGACTCATACAGGGCAGTTCAGGTTAAATTTTTCAAAAGTGGTTTCTGATTTTGGGTGACCAATTTGAGACCCCAAGCAACTGATTTTCAGGAATGCTGAGATCCATAACTCCAGCTGAATGCTGCTGGCCATCCAAAAATTGAGAGCCAGAAAATTTTTGTCAAGTATCAGGGAGTAGCTGTGTGAGTCTGTATCCACAAAAACAACAAGGAGTTAGTCTTTAAGGTACCACCGGACTTCTTGTTGTTTTAGAAAAATGTTGAAGCTTTTAAATTAAGTCTCTTTCCCAAGGCTGCAGAGCAATTCAGTGCGGCAGGAGCAGAGAGAGGTAGCCCTGTTTTGAAATAATTAGATCGGGGTGGGCAAACTGTGGCCCTGGGACCACAACCGGCCCTTCAGATGTTTTAATCTGGCCCTCAAGCTCCCGCCAGGAAGTGGGGTCCGGGGCTTGCCCTGCTCCATGCGTGTTGTGCCTCCGAGCAGCTCCCGGAAGCAGTGGCATGTCCCTCCTCCAGCTCCTATGCATAGGGGCAGCCAGAGGGCTCTACACGCTGCCCCCGCCCCAAGCTCCACCTCTGCAGCTCCCATTGGCCAGGAACCTCATTTCTGGCCCCACCCCAGAGCCCTCACCCTCTAACCCCAATTTCATGAGCATTAATGGCCCACCATACAATTTCCATACCCAGATGTGGCCCTCAGGCCAAAAAATTTGCCCCTCCCTGCATAAGATAATATTCCTTCTCCTCATGAGTAAAGTAAATTAGGGTGACAGGCATGCCAAAGTAGAGAACAAAAAAGCTTCGAAACAAACAACTTCAGCCTAAACTTTCTCCCCAAACTTGGCAGTTCCCAGGGTTTGCCCTTGAGGACCTTTGCTGTCACAGCTTTTGTTGGAGCTAACAAGATCCACCTATTATGTGCGTCAACAGAAATTATTTTAGTTTTTATACTTATCCAGGGACCGATAGCTTGCCACCCTGCTACAGACATATAGTTTATAAAAAACGAAACCAAATCTGAAACCAAATCTAAGGAAAGACAGATGTATACACACATATTTGAGATCAGTTGGATTGATATAGTTTAGTAGATAATTTAAGCAGTATCTAGTCCACTGCATTTTTACCATATTTTTCCCCCACCAGGGAACACAGATTGAAAATTCATCTAACTTCTCAGATAGTATTCATCCAACTTCTCTGTTAGTATTCATCCTTCACCTGATGTTTTTGCAATTTACTCTTCATGTATCATATTTCACTACTTATAGAGCAGAATAGAAGCGTACAAACCTCCAGAGAAAGTTATTAAACAGCATTTCCTCAATAGTCCATTACAACTATTATAAATGACATGATTAATTTTTCAATTTGACCAAACCCTTAAAACATTGTTAATTCTCCCTTCATTATACAAACATTTCTGGCCACAGAGAAACGAGACAGAACAAAACCTCTGGGCATGCAGCAAAGCCCATCTTTTTCAAGGCTGTTGAGTAGGGGTTGGTTAAGGCAGATATATTTATGGGCAGTCCTCTGTTTTATGTTGTGATTTTCAATTATGAGATACTCAGTTGGGGCACTGGATGCATTCCTACACTGGCTTCCCATTGAACAATTGAGATTTTTCAAAAGCTTCTAATTCAGCAAATTTGAGTGGATTTTCACAGGAATGGCAAAAGGCAGATCCCTGAATCAAAGGCCACACCCTCTGCCAAATTTAAGGTTCCTGTTCCAAAGCACGTCTCAAATGTCTCAAAAAAACAACAACAAAACAACAAAAAAACAAACCCCAAACCCATAAAATGGTTGCCAGCATTTTTTAACACTGGAAAAACAACTTATGTTTCTCTACCCTTGTTCTTGGAAATGGCCAAACAGTTTTGGCTGAAATTAAGCCTGAGGCAGACACTCCAGCATGGGAAATTTCAGCCAAAATGGTTAAAGTTTGACTAAGTTATAAGCAACTGAAAATAGGGTCTTATAATTGGATGTACTGGGTAATCTCAATAATAGACGTTTCTACCAGTCTCATCTATGATACACACTTGAAGTTAATATCCATGTGAAACTGCAGAGTAACACAACAAGTTGCACTTATCATGTACCTTGGACTGCCTGACCTGAACTCTGCATGAATCCCTCTCTATCACTCTTAGTCTAAAGTTACATCTACATTTAGGGTGGCATGTAGAGTACAGAGACTGCACGGGTATA